TTCACTCTAACCCCCCCCCCAAGCAGCTTACCCCTATATATGCAGCTGTTTGCTTTCCCCTTTAAGTCACTCTTTTCTCTCCTCTTCACTTTTCCACTTCCTCTTCCTCTTCTCTTCCTCTTCCTCTTCTCTTCTCTTCCTCTTCCTTCCTTCCTCTTCCTCTTCCTCTTCCACTTCTTCTTCGCTTTATGTATTTTCATTTAGCTCACCTCTACCCCGCTCACCCAATTACTCTCTCCTTTATCTTTTTTTCATTCTTCCTCTGTCTAGTTCCTCTTCCTAATACTCCTCCCTCAGCTTCTCCACCCCTTCCTTCCTTCGGCCAGCCACAGCCCTTTCCCCGTCCCTCCCCCACCCTAATCCCCACCCATCCTACCCCTTGTTTAGCACGGAGTTGGTACCTACCCCTGTATCATCGGGAAACAGTTGAGAGAGCAGTTGTCGCCATTTTGCAGCTTTCTGGTAGTGACAGGGTTGTGGAGCGCCATCTGTGTTCATTCCCGGACTGAAACCACGTCCATGCTGCAATCACACAAGATGTAGTTATCAAGATTGCGCGAATTATATATACTAGCAGATATACCCGTACAACCATCAAATCTTGCCTTAAAATATAAACTTCATGTAAGTGACACAGTTGAAGTAAAATATTTCATGCCCCCCACAAGGTATTCTGTAGCGTGTTATAAGGGAATGCCCCCCACAAGGTATTCTGTAGCGTATTATAAGGGAATGCCCCCCACAAGGCATTCTGTCGCGTATTATAAGGGAATGCCCCCCCCACAAGGCATGCGGTAGAGTATGATACGTACTGTCGCGTATTTCGCTGTCGGGGAACGTCGTAGCAATCTCTCTGATCATCGTGTCCGTGGAAGCGATGGCGACCTCCACTTCCGACGCGCCCTCTATCATCGCATTAACAACCGCAACGCCCCCTATATCTGCCACCCTCGCTCCGTGTCGAATGACGTCAAACTCTTCGGCGGACTTTATCGTGCGCATGCGCATCGTCGCGTCGGCGACGTCCACCTTCGTATGCGTCGGCAAGGCGACGTCGAAAGCGCGTAGAGTGTCGACGGTCACGTGGTCGTGTTCGAAGCCGACGCTTCCCCGGACGTCGGCTAGAATCGTGCCGACGATGTGGAAGAAATTCCCTTTCTGCCAGTCGGTGACGATGACGACGTCGCCGTGGGAACGTCGCCACGGCTGGCCGCCGTCGATTCCTGCTGCGATCGTCAGGCATTTGTCGGCTGTGACGACGGTGCCGTAAGGGCGACCGAACGAGCAGTAGAGAAAGCCGGTGAAGTAGCAGACGTTTTGCATGGAGGTGAGGACGGTAGCGGAGATGTCGTTGTCGGCCATGTGCGCGCGCAGCAGCGACAGACGTCGCTCCATCTCCGCATGGGAAAACATGGAGTTCGCCTGCAAAGCGCAAAAATAAAATGTGTGAAAAAATGGAGGATCCAGGATTCTGAACGATAGAGGTAATAACGGGTTTTTTATTATCATTTATGTATATTTTTATTGTTAGGTTAATTTTATAACGGCGACTGACTGTATCACGCAGTAAAATATGCGAGATCAAATATGATTTTATCAGGAGTAGATAATAGAATAATAATAATAATAATCTTTTATTATCTACTCCTGATTTTATCATGCGGCTGAATCAACTGCGCGAAATACACCAGACAACTATACTGACAAGTGACTACTACTATGATGTGGAACAAATACTTTTTTGTGGATTTATTGGGGGAGGGGGTTGAACGACGGGGATAATTACAATGATTGTTTTTGTTTGACTGAATATATTTATACACCACGCAGAAAATAGGTAAACGCGAGGTGAAGTTATTTTTACTTGTTTCCCTGTTTTTGACCTTCTCCTCCCCGCTCTTTTTTGTTTTCCTTCTGTTTCTCCCCCTCCTCCCTTCCTCTGTATCTCTATCACCTCCAGCGTCCTCTCGCCCTCTATTACCTCCAGCGTCCTCTCTGTTTTACTCCGACTTCACCTTATCTTGCATATTCCTTTCCCTCCTCCTCTGCTCTAGTTTATTTTTCCCCTTTACAGCCTTGAAATCATGGCTGTTCTGATGTGCGAGCGTAAACGTGTTTTTGCAAATAACAAACAGTGTGAACTGTATGACTTTCAAGGCCTTTTCGTGAGCCCCATGTAATAAATTTTATGTAACATTTTATCATTTTTTATGTAACCAATGAAATGCTCAGATAACACGAGACAGGCCGGATGGTACCTGCGAAAAAAGCACATTCTAGAGGAGGATTTCAACAAACATATTTCTCTCATGCGCGCGTTGGCTCAAGGCCAAACCTTCGCGCGCAGTTCTGGAACTTTTCGGGGAAATGCTCAGACACATCTAAATATAACTGTGTTTTAGAGAACGACGATTACTTTAACCCTCACGAAACAAGCTCGAACCGAAAACATACGCACACATATGCGGCTTCTATCAGTATATTATTGGAAGCAGCTAAAGCACACTCGAACCACTGGCACTTCCAACAAATCAGTAAAAATAATACGTAGATCGCATATACATATTATATTTTATAATAAAAAATAACACTAACTGAAATACTAGATCGTTAACTGAGAATCTCACAATGCCTTATCACAATGTAGCAGTAAATATCGAGTGCAAATAGAGACTAGTGTTTATGCCGTTTCGTCGTATGAATAGAATTCTCGCGCAGCTTTTCCCCTCTCTGCAGTGGTAGTGTTATCGGCCGATAGATGGCACTACGCGCCTTCATCCGCATTAACAACGTTTGCATGCTCCTTTACGTTGTTATGATCGCAGATTCCTATGATAAAGAAATACTATCCGCTGCCTGCATTTCTCCATACAATAAAGTTCATTGACTGTATCATTTCACTCGGTGCAGGTGAATATATTATGAGTTGTGCACACTCTAATAATGCGAAAATATATTTACGTAATCTATAAATATCAATTCACCTCTCTGACGTAGAAAACGAACACCACATCCCAACGCTTGCATACATGCAGGATACGAAGCGTACAGCGCGATTGGCATCCCTTGCGTATTTTGCGACACTAGCACCATCGTTCGCAACACTTTACCCACACGCGTGTTAACAGGTTCCCAGCTGATGACTCCAAGGGACCGTAAGCGTCAAGATCCGTGTGGCGTATACCGCCCACAACTGCGCGCTGTCTTTATGAATATTTCGACCTTTAACCAGCGTCGAGCTGGGCAAGAACAATCACAGCGGGTAATGAGAGAAGCGCATTCTGTCACTCGAATGTTATAAATAACGGCTAGGTTTATCGAAGCTGGCGCGAAAAGCGGTTTGGCCCACCGTTTCCTGTTTCTATTCCGAGTGCACGCATCGATTACCACAGAAAAAAACCGCACGCGTTGATTTTCCTTCGATTAGATGCTGATGGTGATCATATCTCTTTCACAAATTATAATGCAGTGCACGTGCACGTGCACAGCGCGCGCGCCTAAAAATAACTATGCCAGAGCGACCTGGCATAGCGACCTGGATTTGCCTGGCGTGCCTGGCCTGGCGTGCCTGGATTTAAAGTCGCTCTCTGCTTTTTCATTGATCCATCCGTCTGCGTGTGCGATAACCACTTCCGAACCGACGTGTTCGGCCAGCTAGTCCAGTTTCTTTGCGCGTTTTTCTCGCGTTCACTTCAAACCGACAGATATTCGGACACTTCGCTACTACGCAGCGTTTTTAGAACGCCACATTCGAAACGCTGATTGGTGTCAAACCAACTGTGAATCAATCTCACCAGGGCGATGGCTCAACTGCCCCGTGTAGCAGTGACAAGGCACGTAAGATATAAAACTAGAATGCATCACAGCATAAACATATATATATCATGTGTTCGTTAAGGCGTTACCCAAAAGGCGAAATGCGTGTGGAACGCGTCGGATTAAGGCACGTCCGACGTGTTGACGCGACGACGTTCCGCCGACGTGTTCAGCTTAATGCTTTCCTGCCGATTTCCGGCGATGATGAGAGAGTCGGGACCGAAGGGGAACTTGGTGATGTTCTCAGTGTGGTCGGCGTGGATAATGAGAATGTCGTGCTCCCTGTACGCTCCCTCCCCGGGCTGTCCCTGAGGTACCATGATCATTGGCTCCATCGATACGACGTGACCGGGCTGCAGCGTCGTGTGCACGTCTTCTCTCAGTTCGAGCGCTGCGGAGATGATTTGGAGAGTGAGTGAGAGTGAGAGAGAGATAGAGAGAGGGGGAAAGGGAGAAAGAGAAATCAGAGCATGACGATAGCGAGAGAGATAAAAGGCTGAGAGAGAGCAGAGAGAAAAAAAAAAGAAGAGGCAGAGAGCCCAGCGAGAGATAAAATTTGAGAGAGATAAAGGAGAGAGGGAGAGCAGCAGTAGAGAAGAGAACGACCGAGAGAGAGAGAGCGAGCAGAGAGACCGAGAGGAGGAGAGAGAGAGAGAGATGAGAGAGACCCGACTAGAGGAACAAAGCCCCGACACAGACCTAACAACAGCTGCAAGGTTATCAAAATAACCCGCGACCGCCAGTCTTCCGCGAAATATCTGAAGGGAGTGTTAATTCTTTCATCTATCGTAAAAGTTGTGGATTATTATAGGGTTTCGTTTGAATAATTAATGTGAAGCACGTTATATCACCGATAGGAATAAAAAGCTTACAAACGCCTACTGTATGAACACTGGCTCCGCGTGCAAGAGCCCGCACGTAATGCGGCCCGATGTACAACGTTTGATTTAGGGCGACACACGCCAAATAGATCCTGAAAACCGACACCTGAAATACAACGCGCGAAGTTGGAAACTTTTCCGAGTTGTTGTTGTTGGCCCGTTAGCAGCTCGCTAGTCCGACGGCGCCAATGTCCGAAATCCCTCGCACTATTCCGAAAACCGCACATCCGAAAGCCCCACTAGTCTCAAAACGCCACTAGTCCGAAAACCCACAGGGGAGGGGTAATTACCGCGATCTAAATATAGTAACCTAATGGTTTAATTAATTAATTAATTAATTTTAAATTTAAATAAATTTTTTTTTTAATTTTTCATTTTTTTTTTAAATTAAAGCAATTTTTTAGGGGATGTAGGGGAGGTGTGTGTGGAAGGCTTAGGTTTGGAATTGTGGCTACAAATTGTAGACTACGCGGCTGTACGGTAAAGACCTCGTTAACACCGCCCTCTGTAACCCGCCCATCCACTTAATCGAGC